CTCCGTGGGGTGCAGTCGTCATGGGGAGGGATGATGACAACTTTCACTGTGACGGATGTTCTCAAGAGATCGATCATCTGCTCATGGCTCAGGGTGGCCACTGCCACCTTGCAGATCTCCACCAGGCGGCTGCCCTGCCTCAGACCTGCTTGCCAGGCATAGCCATAGGGCTCTACGTCTGCCACGATGCCCTCATAGTTGACATGGAAGCCAAGCTGTCCTAGCCCATTTCTTCGCAGAGTCATTTCCACCGATTCACAACCTTTTGAAACAAACTAGACAGGAAATGAGAGGGACTGGAGTTAAGTGCTGTAGACTCAGAACTGGTAAATGCTGCCTTGGGTTATTCTTGAACACCCTCGAGGCAGCCGAAGGGTGGGCTAGCTATTCTCCTTCACTAGTCTCTAGTCAGCAGGAGAAATCAACACACTGGCTGCCTCTGAAGGGCTCAATGGCTTTTCTAAAGTTACAGGGAAACCTCGGAGAGACTCACAGAGAGCTGGCAGCAAAGAGAGCCTATACTCTGAATTCAACTATTCATATAAAAAAAAAATATCTCAGGCAGCAGATACGCAAACAGCTTTCTCCTGACTACAGCGACACCAGTCACCAGCAGTGAGATCTGGTCACGTGAGGTGAGTTCCCTTCATAAACCCCCAGCCAATGTGTCCCCTCTCCCGGGGCTGCTACTTTTTTCAGCAAATGATGACGCATGAGCGTCAGATAAACAGTGCTGCTTCACACATCATCAAAGGACTGCCAGAGCAGCCAATAATGCCAACACAAGGTTCCATGCCCTGGCTTTCCTGTCCCGGAAATGTCTGGAATGAGAATTGAAACAGAAGAAGAAAAGTCTCACCTGCAGCCTTTTGACAATTTCTTTAATATCTTCACTGCTAATGAAGCTCTCCACTGAAACACACTCTCCCCGCTCATAGAAGATTTTGAGGCTGGTGTCGCTGGATGTCCACCCTATCACATCTCTGCAGGAACAATTGAAAGCCACGCTCTTTGTTTCCTGCTCGATGAGGACGATGAACTCGTTGGAGATGCCAAGGAGGCAGTCAAATTCCATGGCCTTGTTGTAGTCTTTGGCCCGGACTGCCCACACAATGGCCCCCATGCTGCTGAGCTCAGCTCCTGGATAAGGCTTGGACTTTTCCTTCTTCTTGGAGGCCAGAGAAATGAACGGGAACTTGCCGGAAGGGTCGATAGGTGTGTTGGTGACATTCTTTTCTGCCAAATCTTTCAGGTATTCCTGGCGGGTCCTTGTTGCCATGGCCCGGAACTTTTCTGATTTATGAGCAGCATTTTCTGCATTAATCACTTTGGCCAAAAGGAAGTCCCTGAACACATTTGACTTGGGGAAAGTGACCCCTTTAGGGATGGGAGGTCCAAAAGAAGGCACATCTCTGGACCTGGTGACGGCCACACTGACAGACAAAGCAGAGAACAAAGGATGAGATGGTATCAGTATGTCTGTCTTCTATTACAACAAGGGGATAAAATGTGCTGTGACGAAGGCTGGGAGACGTAGCTCCGTAGAAAAACACCAGTCTAGCATGTACATGCAAGGCCCTGGGTTTGATCCCCAGTACTAAGGAAAAGGGAGAAGCATATGCTAAAGGCAAAACAATCACTCATTTTGTGCAAGAAAGAACACAAATTTCTGCTTAACGAGTCAACTTTTTTCATTCAGGTTTTAGAGAATGTAAGTCCAGTCCCGTGTCGCGCCCCCCCCCCCCCCCCCCCCCCCCCCCCCCGCCTCCCCAGGCAGATGCTTTCTATCTAAAAGCTTAGGAGATAAAACTTCACTTCTTTAGCAGATAGGAAACTAACCACACATCATGGGGGCGGGGTGGGGGTGGGGGCTTACTGTAATGTTCCAAATAAGAGAATAAAAGCTCTTTTAAATACCTACAGACTATTTCCAGTGGAAGCTGTGATAATCACACAACCTTTCAGACAGAAATTGTCAGAACACAAATGTGTCCTCCACTTCAGATAGGATGCCTTCAGGCAAGACACAGTTCATCAGGGAAATGTCAGAAGATATATGACATGAGAAATGAGTGATTTCTCATTTCTATTTCTAATAATACAGCAAATCTATCTGTTGGCTATGTGTGAGGCATCATGAGACCAGATTAAAAGCATAACTTTAAAATAAAACCATCAATAGTAAAGATTTTTGGAGAATTGCCACAGTACTTGAAAATCCTGTTTTTCAGCTGAGCTATTCTTTGGTCCGAATGTTCTACTTTTGGTCTGTGATTCTTTAAGAAACACATTTCCCTTTCTCTGTTACTTTAAGTCAGACTGAGCTTAGAAAGCTTGTTCCCATCATTCCTTTTGTATACACAGAGCTAAAAATTAGGATCATGAAAAATGGCCATAAACGTCTGTGCTGATCTAGTTTTATTCTCAAAAAGAAAAATATTAGAAGTTTCCTAAAACAACAGAAGTTGGGTAGAAATAGAGGGGCTGTATGTCTTTTATCAGTTTTCAATATCATATATGATATCCTCAGCCAAGCTTGACAAGACTAAAAATGAAGATCCCACTTTCCACGTGATTTAAAAGTGAGTCAGCCATGAAACTGTGCACTGTAAAACGTTTTATCAGAATTCTCAAGGGAAAGGATACACCCCAAGAGTGTGCTTCCAAAGTAAACTGAAGAACTCTACCTCATATTTTCTTGACTTTAAAGTCTTGTCAGGTCACACCTATAACTCCAGCAATTGGGGGCTGAGGCAAGAGAGGGGACTGCTCTGAGTCTGAGGCTATCCTGGGATACACAGAGAGTTTCCTAACAGCCTACAGCACGAGACTCTGTCTCACCTCCCCTAATGGGGTAGGGGAGTCTCACTCTCCGGTATTCAGCTACTGTTAGAAAATTTTCTGTATCTTATAGAAATGGGACAGATAAATGTACAAATGAGCATCCCATACTTAGACATTATACTTCGGTGAAATGGAAAAGCCACAAGGCCGGGAGACACCTCGGACAGGATCTATGTTTTTCACAAGCTTATCTTTAACAAACAGACTACCAGTCTCACTTCATGACAGAGAGAAGTGTCAGCCAATACCCGTGTTCTAAATGCAGAAGTGAAGCCTCAGACTCCCCTGTGCATGCATTAGGGCCTAATTACACCCCACCACCACAAAGGCAATTGTTCTTGTCAATGTGAACTGTCTGCCTTGAATGCTGACAGCTGTGTGATTTTAATTCGATCGTGTTAGCTCCCCCCCCCCCCAAGCTGAGCAGAAAATGCTGAAATCCAGATTTGTTAGATTTTCTACAAGGAATCCTGTGAGGATCCAGAAATGTTTAATATCTTTCATTTTAAAATTGGCAATTTCTGTTCCTGCTAATTTCATCAGAGCATTATTCTTCCTCAGGAAACAGCTGTGCTTTTATTTTAACTGAGGAGAGGCACACAGCAGGGGTGTGATCGTGAGCACGTCTACTTGCCCCCGAGCCTACAAGAGTACATAGATCTATTTATTAAGTGACAGAACTTCAGACAAACACACACTGGCAACCTACCAATAATTAGGAGCTTCTAGAACGAACTGTGAGGGAGAGAACTGAGTCTTTACCATGTAATTATCTGTGATTCACCACAGATGGGAGTAAGTGATATAGGCAGTAATCAGGTCTGCAACATTAGAAACAGAGTCCTCAGGAAGGCGGCGGGGAGGATGGTAGCCGGGGTGCGTGTGTGCATGCGTGGTGTGTGCGTGTGCTGCCTTTCCAACAGTTTTGTCTCAGATGCACTAACTTTCATGGTCCTGCAGGTTAAGAGGCTCACCGACACAGACGCCATGCCACAGGCGCTTAATTCACTACAGTAAGGCCTCGTTTAAGCTAATTAGAACACACAGCCTCGTTTCAAAGAGAAGTCTGTCTAGAACTTCTAAATACAAGTACCTGAGACGACATAGAAATGGTTCTTCTTTGAAGGTGGATTCCCCAGGGTCTCGTGTCGGCCACACTCACCTTCCAGCGCTGTGTGCTGGCAATGACCCACCCACTTTAAGCCCGCTCACCTGCCAGCATGGAGAAATGGGACCAGCGACCCAGGTGGGTTAGAGGACAAGCTGAGCTTAGAGACTGAAGCAGTCGGAAGGTCAGCACTGAAGGGGACTTTACAGAGGTCACTGGCCCTCGAACTTCCATAAAATCATGAGCTGCACCACAAACTTGACTTCAACTTTTAAATTTTTTAAATCTACGGATATACTCTCCACAGTCCTTGAAAACAACAGGGAGACCCAGAACATGCCCAGTGTTTATCTCTAGGTACAGTGGCTACAAACCCTTCACTTTGTGGAACACCACGATGGGAAGTGCCAGGGCTCCTACATGGGGAGCCTCGGGTTCAGATGTGCCCAGTCCAAGAACCACACCACATACACACAACCCCAAAAATGACACCAAAGTGGCACTAAGAACC